AGCAAAAAGCAGGAAGGAGAATGGGACTTTTGGCTTTTCTGCAGGTACGGTGTGCCCTCTGCACTTCTAGGGTTCGAATGGGAAGAAGGGGAGGATATATTGAATTTGGGCAGGAGGTGGGCCCCACGTTTTTTTTTTTTTTGCTTGGCGGGAATCTGACGTGTTTTATGACATGTCATCTTTTTTCCATGTGTACATATGACGTGTCACGATATTTGGCCATGTCATCGTGTTCCCGTTAGTTAACAGTACACGTCACTGGATTTTTAATGGAAGGACCAAATCGGGGTAAAAATGGTAAACAGTAGGGACCAAATCAGGGATTTTTTTAGTTCAAGGACCAAATCGGGGGTCCGTACAATAGTTCAGGGACCAAAAAGGGGTTTTAACCTCATCCTTTTTACTGCTTTCTCCCTTTCCTTTACTACTTTTGTAGTTTTTCTTTTGTTGTCCTTGATTCTTCAACTTGTCTTTCCTTAGGAAACTCTTAAACTTTCGAGCAAGCACTATAAATTCTTAATCATCCTTTTCATCATTGTCACTTTCATCTTTGGAGGAGCTTTTGAAAGCTACAGATTTCTTCTTCCAAGAATCATCATCACTTTCATCATTTTTCATAGCCATTTCATGTGTAAGAAACTTCCCTTGCAGCATCTCAATAGTCATGGCACTTAAATCATGAGCTTCTTCTATTGTCGTCTTGATTGAACTCTAGGATTTTGGCAAGGAGTGAAGAATTTTTTTGACCTTGTCTTCCTCAGGAAGCACCCTATCGAAAAGCTTTACTTCATTAGTGATTTTGGTAAAATGAGTAAACATGTCTTTAATGTTTTCATCTGATTTCATTTTGAACAGCTGGTATTTTTGAACCAACATGTTAATTTTTGATTTCTTGACTTCATTAGTTCCTTCATGAGCCACTTGTAATTTATCCCACATTTCCTTAGTAGAATCACATGCACTAATTCTATCATATTCACTAGGATGTAAAGCACAGAATAATGCATTTTTAGCTTGAGCATCTATCTACAATTTCTTTTTTTTAGCTTGATCATATGATGCAGGATCCTTAGGAACAAGTTGATTATCCTTGTCACTAACTAAGATTTTATATGGTCCTCTAACAATACAACCCCACATCTCATAGCTATTTGCTTCTAACCAAATTTGCATCCTATTTTTCCAGTATTGATAATTTGTTCCATCAAAATAAGGTGGCCTAGTGATTGAATGACCTTCAACAAAATGAGCTTGGAAAGCCATGGATCTACTCAAGATTGTTAAATCTATTTTTGAGAGAAACCTGCTCTAATACCAATTGTAATCCCAACTAGCTACCCAAGAGGGGGGTGAATTGGGTCTTATTAATTTGAACTTAAAAACTTATTTCTTTTTCTTTCAAAACTTAAATCAAGTTTGCAATTTATAAGCTGTTGTGAAGAATAAACAAAGAGTAATATAGTGCAGAAAAATAAAAGAGAAGGAAGAGAATATCAGGCCGTGATTTATAGTGGTTCCTCCAACCCAGAGTATGTCCACTCCCCAAGCCTCCTTGCTCGAGAGTTCAATCCACTAGAAATCTCTTGCTTACTGGTGCAAGATTAAACCCTCACAAGTGAATGTCAACTCATTCAACAGGAACTGCAAAGTCCCTCAAAGCTCTTTGATTGTCTTGACCTTCTGCCATTCTAACTTCTTGGTTGGCTTTTTCTTTTCTTCATCTTCAATGAACCTTAAGAGTTCGATCTATCTCAGGGTCAAAAGGCAAAAGTTCAACACTTTGGGACCTTCCCATGCACTTGAAAGAAATCTGAATTTTCCCGCACACAATGAAAACAAAAGACTAATACAAAATGGAAAAGTGAATGTTAGATTAAGAAAAGCAGTACTTGGTATTGATATCAGCAAAAAAAATTTCTAACTATTTAATCCCCAACAATGGCACCAAAAACTTGATAATTGTGAAACATTCACTTAAAAATGCAATCACACATTATCATATCAAATAATAAAGAGTGAGTAAAGTATCGTTTCCACAAGGATTAATGATGAAAAATTTTACTGAGTACCTAAATTATGTTAGTGCTAATTTTATCTAACTATCAAAAACTCTTGATGTAAAAAAAAATTTCTTAAACTAAACTAAATAAAATAACTAATTCTTAAAAATGATGATTTAACCTCTATAAAAAGTTCAGGGTTATGTCTACTTACCTGCACAATCCATTTGCATTAAATTCACCCAAATCCTGATCATTCTGCTCCCTTGAATCATGTCTAAAAATCCTTGAGTTTTTACTGATCCTCTTTCAAATGACAGTAAATTATCCCAATCCACCGTCTTATATATTTCTATATGTAGTGCAATGAATTGAAACTAAAAATTCAAGTGCAATAATTCTTCCCTCAATAACACATCAATTAAAAGAGTCTATTTGTATCTCCTCAAATTAATGGCATTCATTTGGTGGTCTCATTTAACTATTCCTTCTCAATTCAAGTTAAACAACCATACATCTTGTTAATTGGCCAATTCAACAAGAAAACAATCTACAAATGAAATACTAATTCGAAATGAAGCAAAATAGATTAGGCTCTGACTTCTCAAAATGAAAACTTCATGATTTGGATTTCAACATAACCCCAAGTACAAAATTACTCCATAATCAAAGATAGAAAACAAATAATTGTACTGGAATTCATTAAAACTAAAACAAAAAAGTAGAACTTAACACATGTTTTCTATAGGTACAAGGAAAGAAATCACAAATCTAAATTTGAAAAAAGTCTGCCCATTCAATGTTGTGTATGAGAAAAGATGGAAAAATGCAGATTTTTCCTTTTTCCTTGCTGTCTCCTTCTTCTCGACTCATTTGCTCTTTTTTTTTTTAGCCTCTAGAAGATATTTTTCCTTTGATAGTTTCTTCCCCTTTTGCTCCACTTCCTTCTTCCTATTTTCACTTTAAAAACTGCCCACTAGCTCCAAAACTACCTTGCTATCTTTTAAACCATGAAATTTGATGATGTGGCTCTTAATATTTGAAGTTGGTTTGACTTGAAGCATGTTTGAACAAAAATTTTCAATCCTTCAAATTTCCAATTTTGTTGCTAAAGCCTCCAACTTTTCAAAAATTACTATTCTAGCCCCCACCTAAGAGAAAACAACCAAATTATGTAAAATCACAAAGAATCTCACATAAATAGTGTAGTTATCTTAAATTTAAAGCTAGATTGACCTATAAAACTACATAAAAATTGGTCTCATCACATATGCAATAGGATCCATTAAGTTTGTTACAAATTGTATAAAGTTTAAAGTCTTGTATGCTAGGACCATGATGAGTAGAACTTGTACATGGAGAAGACAAGGAGTTGCTAATGAGAGGTCTCACAAATACTAGCTTCTCAAAAAGATCATGATAATCTTAAGATCACAAAGTAGTTTTGAGTTTCACTTTAATAGACCCACAATGAACTGGTATAGCTCAAAGTAGAATCTAAGTATATAGTAGCCTCCACAACAATTAAGTGGTGTTGATCTGTGGATTTATATCCAAGCTTGGCTTTGTGGTAGCATTATTGATCCAGTTGTTATGATAACATTACAAGTTATAACACTCGCCAAGGAACCACAATTTCATTAGCAGACAAAGAATATACTTAAAAAGACACCACTTTTTAATAAGTGGTGTCATTAATAATGCTACTACAAGTCTATAAAAAGGTGACGTCACAATTAGCAGAATTACGACAAAGAACAATGTTGCCAACACACTAACTAAAGCCATAACTCAACAGAATCATGTTATACATGTAAAAGCTAGAAAGGTTAAGCATACTAGTAGTTAGCTATACTACAAGTGTAACACCCCACAAACTTTAATGAATAGATTAAAAATTAGGGTCTTTTATTTTAAAGTTTTGGGGATTAAATTGATTCGATTTAAAGTTTGGGGGTTGAAAATGAAATTTAGTAAAAGTTGAAGGATGTTTAATTCTATTATCCCACTTTTTGTGCCATGTGGCACAATATTTACCAAGTAAAGTCATTGTTCTTTGGCTTGAAATAAATGTCTCCTGAATCCATCTTTTTTTTATTTTCTGCATCATTCCTTCCCAGCTAGTCCCCTGCTCCTTTTCTTCTTCTTCCAGCCAAGTGATGTGCTAAAGACATGTGAGGATGCACTCTCTAGTGGAGTTCTCAGCCATTTCTGCTGCTTGCCTCAATTTGGTGTTTTGATTTCCAAGTAAGTATGAGTTTTGGTTATAAATTTGGGTTAGAGTTGGGGAGATTACAGATTTATCTTAATATATTGGAAATTAGTTTAAATTAAGAGATTTGACCCTAGATCTGTAGTTAGGAGATTTTTGGGCATTAAAAATTATGTTAAAAATATAAGTTATTGTGAGGCTTGCACGGGAATGGCTCCATGATGGGTTTAATTTTCATACATGAGTTT